GAAATAACAGTTTAGACAACTAAAGGATTGAGTCCCTAAAAACTCAACTCAATAGTCCAAAAACAATTAACGTTGAAAGCAACCTCTAAGAACTAAAAATCATTATACCAAAACTCTATAATCAAGACTCAACATGTAATCCCTAAACTAAACATCAAACTAAATCTAATGTCTGTGTCCGAAGAGATGGACAAGAGAAATAGAGGAATCCATGGCAGCCTGAAAGATGTAGTTCACCATTGGATTCGAAATCAAATTCCCCTTAATTGAGGTCTTAAATTAGCCGCTGGAAGATTCCACATACTCAACAAGGAAAAAAGCAAGTGCAGTATCAATACACAATCACGGATCGCACGACTAACCCAAGATATGAATGTAAATAGTTCACTACAATATAGTAACATAGATGAATGCATACAACAACAAGTAACAACTCACATAGACTCTCAGTTACATGTCATGAAACAACGATACCTGGATCCATGTCTCACATGATAACAAATGCAAATGTTTGATCCTCTCATGGAATCACAATCACATATCTAGACCTCTTATGGAACCCGAATCCAAAGTGTTAGTGTACCACCGCAGTACTCAAGTTATCTATAGTTAGTGTACCCTCTAGCTTGGTACCCAAGTCATCCATAGTTAGTGTATGAGCATGGTACCTGAGTCAACCAACAATCAAGTACAATCACATAGCACAATGAATAAGACCACTTGAAATCATAAGCCAGAGTAGCAAGTTCATTGCATGAGATTACCTACATGATGTCATATTGCATGCCTTTCTACCATGCATTGCACAAATGATACTACAGAGAGTAGACATGCAAACATACATAAATCGGAAATATACAACAATCACTACCTCGAATCAAGCCTTTTGAAAACTCTAAATAACCTGATTTTTCCCCTTGAGAAGTGTCTCACCTTGTTTTTGGTCTAAAACAAACAGTACAAACAATAATCAATCACTAATGACCTATTAATTACCCAAATTATTAACAAATCCTAACCTCAGGCCAAAAATATGATTCTCTTCCCCAACTTATAACTTTTTCCACCATCAATCATGTCCACCCCCCCTCGAAAAATAACTTAGATTCTAAGTCTTAAGAATCAATGCACAAGGTTGAGGAGTCGAATTCTTACCTCTATCGATGAAATTCGTGAAAAACAAGTGCAAACTGCCCAAAATCGACACTCCCAACTCCAAGAACACAAAGTGGAGAAAATAAGAGTTTTGGGGTTGTTTCTGCTATAAATTTCGATTTGACCCACTATAACATCCTAGCTCGCTATATGGTGTTGTTATAGTGGAACTTACCCTATTATAGCGTTCTGCACAATCCACTATAGAGGGAGGCCATCCGTTATAGCGTACTCGATGAAATTTTAGAGTTTCAAACTCCGAAAAACCAAATTTTAACAACACAGCTTCTTCACTTGATGTGCTGAAATAACCTTCCATGCCAAGATCAATTTCGAGGGTAATACTTACCCGAATTCAAATATGAAAATTCATATGAACTCCTTAATACCTTAGCTATAAGGAAACATCACTATTGGCTAGCCTGACTAAAAATATTTAAGTCGCTATCTGAGAAGTTTTTTTGCCAAAATTCTTTCACTATTGGCTTATTCATAACGATCGGGTCAAGTTGTTACATTGTTACAAGTGTGATTTTCTCCTTAATTAATGGTTTCAAGTATATCCCTTAATTAGACACAATCCTTAAGTAATGACTTTTAGTTGTATCTCAGATACATACATGTATATGCAAGAGGCACATATATGTATATGAGGCCCAAAGTATGATAGAGATGTAATATTGCAAACTGGCGTGAATCTAGTAAATTTTTCATAAATTCTGTATTTGTTCTAAAAAATCCGAAATAAATATGTAGTTATGAAGGTGCGAACTTACATACATAAATTGGAGAATGGCCCAGTGGTGTTTATGCTACTTTCAAAGCCTTGTGCTCCTTATATATGGGTTTGAAACCCACTAGTTGCACCTAGAGGCAGAGTTAGGTGGGGTTCGTGAGTTCCGACGAACCCAATAACTTTTTCATTAATCTTGTATTTGTACTAGAAAATTAAATAAATATATTAAAAATCGGTACTTGTTGAGAAGGTAGTCTTGCTTGTAATTAAGAACCCACAAACTCAAAATTCTGACTTCACCTCTGATAATATCATGACCCGAACCCAATTAAAAGATCCTCTTTTTTTGAAAACGGATCCAGAAATCTTCAACGAACTTGAGCTTCTCCTTTCTGTGGTGGTAAGACCCGAATGAAGCCACTTTTGGTTCATACTCCTCATTACTTTCCTCATTCTCTCCTCTTATCAGCATTTTCTTCCACTAAGAAAAACTTATTCAATGTCGGTTAGACTTCACAAGTGAACAACTAGTATATTAATTGGGTTTGGGTCATGAGGCTATGAATATGGGTTCGAGTGGATAGGGGATAATGGGTTGAGATTTAATCTTATTCAGTAGGATGTCACGTAATAAATAATAATAACTAAAAAGGAAAAGACGATTAGTTTTAAGGGTAAAAATAGATCAAAAAGATGGATCAGGGAGTATTTTTAGTTCAATAGGTGAATGAGGGTTATATTTAAACCTCTCCGAATAGTTCAAGAATATTTTTTTTGACCCTTTTCCGATAAATATATTACTCCAATGTGTTTATATATGCTTCTATTACTTAATCGAGATTAATTAATACATATTTCCACTATAGTAAATTGAGTCGATTTGGTGTCCGATGCAATAGCCTATGTACAGACTATAGTTTATATAATCTCCTGTTATATATTCAAGTTTTGGTTAACAATATTATCCGAGTATATCTATGTCAATAATTAAAAACATGAAGCCACAATAATCTTGCAAGTTCAAATTAATTTTAAATATCAAATTAGTTTTTCTTTTTCTCATTGGCAGACTGTTAATTACATAAAAAAATTTCTTCATAATTTTCAGGATTAATCATACTAATAATATATATCCCTGGACTCCTGACGTTGCATTGACAGTGATTAACATGTGCTTCATCATAATAATGGAGGTGGAGGAATATGGATAATCTAGTTCACACTTAATTCACACTACAACAAAGAGATATCTAGTGGTTAGGGAGGGAGATTCTGGTCTATTCTAAATTCTCTCTCTTTAAGTAGGATGATTGAATTTTTTTCTTTCGCAGAAACATTTAACGATAATTGAGTTAATAATATCATTATATCTAGAGTTACTAAAGTTTTTAGCGGTATTTATATAGAGTGTTAATTATAAATACTCATATTTATTATTATCGTTAAATATAATATAGCGGGAATTTTATTCTTACCGCTAAATTGTTTATTTATTATAGTGTCATGTCAATTAGATGAAAATTACACGAATAAGCGAACATATACTAGTTAATTAGTTAACGTAACTACAATTTAATTAAATTATCATTCGTCACTAACTTACAATCATATATAGTTATGTGACCCACATCTAGAATTTGTATAATTCGACTCCTATTTGTATAAATTCAGAATTTGTATATGCTTACCATAACTTGTATATAATTAGCATGTTGATACATCTGATGTTGTATAAATGTAAATACATAATTTGTATATACTTACTATGTTTGTATATTGACAAGTGAATTATATAAACGAAAATATCTATAGAAAATGAAATTATAATTATAAAGCATAATTAAGCAAACCGTAGGTAAGGGACTTATTAAATTTAATCTCTTTGCTATTTATGAAATTTCCGCGAGAGTTCAATTAACATGAGGAGGCCTATGGTGCGAATCTCATATCTGAAATCAACTAAGTCAGGTCAACTATATATGTAGTGACCTAATACTTGGATTTAAATATTAAGAAGCTAGTATTAAATTGGAAGAAACTTGACTAAAGACATTTAGACAGGTATAGCCACGTTGTAGACATGCATTACATATATTTTTTTCTAAGTCTACGCTAGATAGAAGAATCATTACCCGGAGACAATCTGTAATCCCCAATTATATGTCTAAACAACTACTCCAAGATCTTTTTTAAGATTATCATGTTCCTTTGTCCTTAGTATAACCAAAATCAATAGTTAAGTACGTACGTTCATATTGATGTGTAAGTTAATTATTTCATATTTTTAATTAGTAGTGGAGTCGGAATTTTTATAATTAAGCCAGAGGCGTATTTAGGGGGTTACTGAATACACGCTAACTCATATATATTAGCGTTGTATTTTTTTTTATAAAATTACTTAAATTATAGATGTGTGAACCTATGCTCGAAGTATCATGTAGTGATTTATGCAATGATTATTGGATGATCCCTCTAAGTGAGATTATAAACTTAAACGTTATATCTATTTTTATTTTTTTTAATTTTTAAAATTGGGTCATATCTCTCTAAGTGAATATTGATAGCACTTTTAGCGTTTTAATTTAATTTATTTTTTGTAATCTTTCAAAATTTCAAGTCTGTTATATTAAAAATTCCTAAAAGAAAATTGTTTTATGTTTAGTGATAAGAAGCTAAAAATCAGATCATATATCTTAAATCCATCTTTTCGTAATATAGTGCACTCATCTTCGTAAAATCCTAAATACGCCTCTGCATCAAGAGAGTTTAAATATAAAGAAGTAAACATACAAAGAAATCGATAGAGTACAACATCTAATAATAACTTCAATCTAGAAAAAAAAACACCCTTAATTATCACGTTCTTTTTCCCCTCTTATATAGACCAAGTAGGCGTTTACTTGTTTTTTTCACACTTCTCTCCTAACCACCTTCATTTATTACCTTTTTTTTTAAAACTAAAATAAGATTTAATAATTGACTAAATTGTTGTCTATTTATATCACATGAATTTGGCTGTTAGAGAGATGCAACTTGAGTTGTAGCGTGCTGCGCGCAAATATACCATTTCACAAGTCTTATGGTCCACATAATTAAAATTAATATTCCAATGGAGGTGGCCGCGCAACACAACTGGATGGCGGAGGAGACGGTGGAGGAGACACTCATCATAAGTGAAGCTCGACGCTCAGCCAACGTTGATCGTGGTGTTGTTAATGAAGATGAAGTATCGTCTAGCAGTGATGAGGAAGAGGCGAGCAAGGACAAGCTTAAAAATAGCGTCTACTTTAATGAAGGTAATATATCTTAGGTTTAACTCAACGTCCAAATCTAGCTAGCTCATAAATATTTTTTAAAATTCATTTCCTCAACTAATGTGAGTCAATATTAGTACTGGCTAAATGGTAAAACCATTGAAGCAGCTTTTGGCCCCCTTAATTAATTCTATGGTAATATTCCTTCAAATATTGAATATTTATGATAAAATAAAATAAAAATTAAAAAAATATTCATAATTTTCTTGACCAAACGGCAAACACCCCGTTCAATTTTTATTTTTTTTCTCATACTCAAATTTTCAAACATTGCTGTAAACATATTGGAAGAATAAAATTTTATTTTGATATCAAGTTTTAGTTTTGTGTAATATGGTAAATCACGAGGGAGATCAGTGTGATAGAGCAATACCTGAAGGGAGGTGTTTGAAATTAATGTTTTTTTAAAAGATTACCTTATAGTAGTATATTTTCTTATTAGTTCTTAGAATTCAAATATGTTCTTATTAGTTCTTAGAATTCAAATATTTTGAGATATAAATAAAGCTTGAATCATGTTAATATGTATGATATTTTGAAGAAGAAAAAATTAATTAAGGCTTCTTAATAAAGTTTGACTTTAGCATTATAAAAAATAAAGGATTTTGTGGAAATTATTTTATGGCATATTATATATTTAGCAACAATAATAAATATGAGTATTTATAATCAACATTCTTAATATCGTTAAAGGCTTAATTAGTGACTTTGGACGTAAGACCATTAACTCAGTTATTGCTAAATATTTTTAAGACAATATTAAAAAAAATCTGTAGTGTCACAAATGTCCTTTTTGTTCTAGTATAGGTCCTATGTTTCTTGGGTCATATATATATATATATATATATATATATATATATATATATATACATATATATTCAATTAAAGTCAGCTAATAGCTGGATTAAATTATATATGACAACGAAACTAGGAATTTGAAAATCAAAATCTGCCAGCAAGTTTATAGCTAACAAGACGTGACTGATTGTGAGCTTCTTCTCTATTTCCTTTGGTTTTTGTTAATCTATAAATGTAGGCCACTTCAATTTTCCTCAAACCATTACAATTTCCTTTGCTAATTCTAAAGGAGGAGGATGAACTAGTTTAATATATATCTTCATAACAATACTATGCTTCTAAATCATTTTTCAACTACTATTTTACTTTCTATTCCACTCTACAATACATAAGTCGCTACACCAAAAATAATCTTTAGCGGTAATAATCTAATTATTGTTAAATATGTTTATTTTACAGGTAATTAACGCTCTTTGTAAATGTCCCTAAAACTTATAGCAACATTGAATTCAATAATGCCGATAAAGGCTTTAATATTGTTTGTTAATATACATATTTATTATTGGCTCTAAAAGTTAATACTAAGTTAAAGTTATTTATTGTAGTGAGTCAAATTATTTTGCGGACTTACACAATTGTGTAATACATTTTATTTTATTTTACAAGTTAATGAACCTAACTTGTGTTCCTCTTTCAGTAATTGACGCTGTAGACTTTCACGTTGTTCTCAATGGTGATGATCACACGGGAAATGCTAATGGACAAATAAATGAGACAGGAAATCCCAAGGGTGAAATTCTTTCTACTGTATGTGTTCCACTTTTACATGGACAAAATTCACCCGTAGAGACGGGAAATCCTAAGGGTGAAATTATTTCGGACGTATGTGTTCCACTTTTACATGGACAAAATTTACTCGATGAGACGGAAAATCAAATTCTTTCTGAGCCACTTTTATATGGACAAAATTCACTCGATGAGACGGGAAAATATGGTAAGGGAGAAATTCTTCCTGGTGTATGGCTTCCACCTAATTCACAAGGACATGATTCACAATCAAGTTCTTCAATCAGAAAAGGAAGTGGAAATGAAACAATCATTGAACAAGTTGAGGAAGAAACTGTTGAGTTGGAGTTCTTTGACACAACAGCAGTTGATAAGCTAAAACACACACATAATGCATACTGTCCAAAGTGTACTTCTCGTATAACTAAAGTTGTCCTTCGAAGGGTAAAACGAGAAAGAAGGATTATAATAGAAACTGATGATGATCGTCATGACCAAAAACCGGAGCTACTTGGATGCCTCTCATGCTTCAGTGTTTTCGTACGTATAGGTATATATATATATATATATATATATATCTACAAGTTCTATTTTCTTCTGATCTATGAGTATCTCTCATCAACACATGATGATGACTGGTATGTGTATCTTGTTAAATTTCTGCAGGAAAGAAGCTCAATCCGTTCCCAATATTTGGAAATGGAGGAGGAACTACTAGTACAGAAATAGCCAGAGAACCACATCTCCCAAACATAAATGAAGGTATTTATTTAGTCATGATACTTTATTCACTTCAAATCATTTCAGTGTGTGTTGTAAACCTGTAACTACTTTCATGTATGATTAGTTCAGTCATTAATTTGTACCGCTTTCTAGTTCAAATAGTTATGGATAACATTAGGACAATGTATTGCTTACCTGATCAATCCTATAAGTTGGGGTCTTGGATTTTTCTGATGCATTACTTTACTTCACCAATTAGTATGAGAACAATGTCTAATATTGTTACACATTCTTGATATTGTTAGTTACCTGCCCTGTGTCTCTCAACATTCTAGTAACACGAAAAGATCTTAATCTTCTCTTTTAGCCAGTTTCAACATTTGAACATGCATCTTGGTTAGTGCTTAACATGTCAATGGCAAGAAGTTCTACATGTACTGCATTACTTGTTGAAAGTGACATGAGGCGAAGACTTTTTCCTATGTTTTATTTTCTTTCTACTAATCTTTGGGAAATCGGACCACTTTTCAGGTGGCTTCATTCCAGGGATAATGCCTTCCAAGAAGTCACCAACTGAAATTATAGAGAGTAAAGGTGAGAGTGCTGGGAAACTTGAAGATATGTAGCAAAACATTTGTATTCCAGTACTCATGTGGTGCATCAGATTTTTCCAATCCTATACATGTATCATTTGAACATTATTAGTTCAGCATCTGTAGTTGTATGTCGGTTAAGTATTGCAAAGCATTAGAGATTAGGTGTTCATATTATGTTACAAAGTTTGTTGGGAAATATGTTTTCATAAATAGCTATATAATGCAGGAGATGATTACCGAATTCCTATATTGGAAGACCCAAGAGCTTCTCCATCAACAGGGTATTCCAACAACTCACGAAGACCAATACTTCCAGTTGAAGTTAAAGATTCCAGATCACTGGAGATTGTAAAATGCATAGTATATGGAGGTTTAATAGAGGCAATCACAAGCTTGGGAGTGGTCTCCTCTGCAGCTGCATCTGATGCTGACACAAGTAAGTCATTGAGACCTTATTTTTGTTGTCGAGCTTGTTAAAGAAATGAACTTTGGGCCTAACTCAACCCCAAAATCTAACTCACGGGGAGGATCTCTCAAGACCATATAAGTAGTAAAGTAGACTATGTCCCCATCCCACCACCGATGTGGAACTCAACCCCAATCCCCTCCTGCAATTGGAGCATGGGTAATATAATATTGGGACCCAACATCAGGTAGCCTAACTCAACCCCTAAAGCTAGATCATGAGGGGAGGATCTCCCAAGTCCCCATCCCACCATCGATGTGGGACTCAATTACAAAGCAATTACAACTGAAAAACTAAGAATTATGACTTCTATGGATAATGCTGATGCTTAATTGCTTATAACAAAGCTATTAAAACTGAAAAAACCAAGGGCTTTAATACTTTTAGCTCCTATATCTTGACAGAATAAGAATGGCTCACTTATAGATTTATCTTGATACTGCAGTGAAGATTGTTACTATTGGAGTGGCAAATTTGATAGGTGGACTTTTTGTCATTTGTCAAAATGTAAGTATTGTGTTGTTTACACTTGCTGACTCTTGTTCTACCTTCCTTTCTGCTTCTGCTTTAATTCTTGCTTCTTAACTATTATCAAACTTGCAGTTGGTGGACTTGAAATATAGTGTTGGAGGAGGTTCCAATTACCAAGTAGATCGATACGGAGAACTACTTGGCCAAAGAAAAAACTTCCTCCTTCATGCTACTTTTGCCATGTTGTCATATTTTGTGTTTGGACTTATCCCCCCTGTAATATATGGCTTCACATTTCGGAAGAGTGATGACAGGGACTACAAACTTATAGCAGTTGCCGCGGCTTCTCTTCTGTGTGTTATCATACTTGCTGCTGCAAAGGCTTATACACAAAGAGCAAATAAGTTCAGTAAATACTTCAAGACTATTTTGTCTTATGTTATAGCTGCAGGTATGGTCTCAGGTGTTGCTTATGCAGCAGGTCATTTGATTAAGAGGTTCATGGATGACATGGGATGGTTTGACTCAAAGCCGATTTCACAGAATCCAGCCTGGGCATCCTATTGACATCTTGTCTGTGTTGTTAAATCCTGATTTCCTTCTTCGGCGAGCTTTAGAACCACAGAGAATTTGGATGAATGAGTTTTTGTATTCTTTGTTCCTATGTGATATTCTGATGATGTTTTTGTAGCCTCCACTTGTGGTGTGAATAACTTGGTCTAAAAGACACCTCATTTTTTCCTGTTATAATAATATTTATAAAACTTACTTGGGTGGGGTATACACAGTTTGGCCATACTCACGCTCGACTCATTGGGACTTCACACTCTGTTTTGATGATTTTTCAGTATTATCTCATAATGTATCGAATTGTATTATCTTATATTGTATCAATATTAAGTTCATAAGTGGCCAGAGGTGGTGGGGATCCGTTTTATGAAAATGGTGTGCACTGTTTTGTAAGGTTAAAATATTCACTAGCCTGTTGGTGAACATTTCTCTACTCTGATGGAATATGTGGTGATGTTGAAAGTATTCTGATTGCGGTTTAAGCAAAATAAGTATGCCATAAGGTAATAGGAATTACTATGGACAGTGGAATCAGACAATCAGTTTATGACACTGACATTAAAGATATTTCAATCGGTGTACCTCGAAATTTAACAAGCTCTTCTAATTTTAAAAATTAGCAACATATAAACTAACAAAGATTTCACAAAAGGTAGATAACTCAACAGATAATAAAGAAAGAAATATTGTATTTTTTAGGCTATGTATACTTTATCTCTTCCTCTAAACGAAAAGTAGGTACTTTTTTCTACTATTAATAAGAGGCACACATGTCATGGAGGACATGTGTGCATGCAGCCATAAATTTAAGTATTCCATAGATCCTCTGCTGTACATCACAGATGATTATACTGCCTTTACTAAAATTTTCTTCTTCTCGAAATACATTTGCACATGTAGTCACAATATATAGTTACAGTGTAAGCCCGAAAAAGGAGAGCTTGCCTCGAAAGAATGATTTTATCTAAAGTTTGTAAATCAGAAATTCCATTTTGGTGATGAATTTACTGCACTTTGACGGGGTCTGGTCTGTGGCTCCATGTTGTTCCGTTTCTTCATGATTGAAGATACGGTCGGGTTAAAATAGTCATTACTCCTCTGAGAATTCGCCCCTTGGGAGTAGACTTTCCTTCCTTGCATACTGCTCCTCTGCTGTTGTTGTAGCATTGCTCTGCGAACACCCGCATTTTGTTGGGCTGTTCCCCATCTATTGTAGTTCACACAACTTTGGCTCCTCCCTACCTGTTGAAACCTTCCCTCTCTAGGACTTGGAAAATTTCGACTTTCAGCAGTTTCCGCAGAATACATTGTTATCTCTCCGTCACTACTGTATCCATTTTCCATTTCCAATATCCTTATAGGAGAAGAACTTGATTGAACTTCACTCTGGATCCCATTTACAGATCCAGTAGAAGCAATCTCAGCATCTGCCACGGGATTGGATTGCCATATGTCACCTTTTCTTACTGGATGCTCCAAGGGAGGTTTGTTGACAAAATTTTCACCAAAGCTGGAACGGATTCTTCTGGCAGGTTGCGGTGAGCCAGAAAATTTCGCAATCCTGGGTGGAAAGTTGATATCTAAAAGCTGGATGTGAGTACCTTCCTTCATCCTAACTGGTATTGAAGTTAAATTTGGTGATTCATAAATTTCAGGAGTTGGAATTCCATGTACATGAGTGACAGCATGAGGATCAGTAGTTAATGCTTCCTCTTCCATATTAGTTGCAACAGCGGAACAGCTTGGGCCAGACTGCTCTCTAGGCTTTGACAATCTGTTTGATGATGATGGCGTCCCCCCATTTTCAGCTTCAGTTGACTTAAAAACACGCCTCATCGTGAAGGAAGCACAAGAATGATCACTCTTTTGACCAGCTGACATCAACCGAATTATTGGTAACTTGGGTTTGTTGAGGTCATCAAGGTTTCCCTCCCAATGCTGGTTTAACCAGTCACATATTATGGGGATAGGTATACCAAATTGCATGGGACATTCCTTCTTCCTTGATGATGAAGAGGATGCTGAAGTGGTTGAGGATTTTGAGTTGGGAGATGTCGCAAGCTTCATAGGGTCACATACCATGAATGCAAGATTGCCATGAGCATCAAAACCAGCAGAACCTGGCCTCCAGCTTATGCCATCAGTTGACAGCTTTATAAGATTATCAGTGGCTATTATCACTTTTCCTTCACCAACGGTCAACTCCTTTTCCTCGCTATATCCTAGCAGGTAAATGACATTACCTAGCTCCAAATTAGGTTTGGAACAGGTTTTTAGGTAGTGAGGCTGCTGAAGATGTGCATTTGTGTCTCCATCCATGACATCAAGGCCAACTATTGTCAGATCTAATACAGAACTGGTTATAAAGAATCTGCAATAGAAGGGTATAAAATCAGATGCATAAAATTGAGACAGCTAGCAAAAGGCTGAACTTGTGTTACCAATGGACAAAATTATAAAAAACTACAATGCATAAAAGCATTCACTTATCAGAAAGCTAACAATTTTAAGACGTACTAAATGTAACTTATAGTCACTCAAACGTTAAGTTCTTCCCCAGATAGAATGCCCATTGATCTTCAGATAAACATCAGATTCTAGTGAACTATTTACATGATCTTCATCCTATCCTTCGAGTTTCTTCATCTCTCTGTGAAATAGATCACCACAGGCAAAAACTGTACACACGGATTTCTTAACTTTGTTTTCAGAAGATCATATGCAATATTAATACATGGTACTCTTTGTGAAGCTGCTTTATTTTCGTATTCGATGAAACCAGAGCACACACAAGCAAGACACCAATTCTGTTGCGCATACACATTGTACAACAGTCATAATTAAATTTGTCCCGCAAGACCGCGCCGGTTCAGCCGGGATGGGACCGGGCCAGGTCGACCGAGACATAAAACCAAACCGTCCCATCCCAGGTCCCCTATCCCCCTAACCTCCCAACCCACCTCACCACACGGGACCAGGACCGGCGGGACAGGTCTCGAGCCGGTACGGGGCCGGGGCCCTTTTCAGGCCTAGTCATGACCCATCTGATAACCTCCATGTTGGAACACCAATTAGCCAAAATACCAGATATCATAATACCATGAATTAAATGAGTTAACAAAATTGTCAAAACTTCTGTTGAAATGTCAGCACTAGTAACTAACAATCTAAATTTCATCAATGTGTGATTAGGTTGGAGAAAGAAATATCTATCACAAATCCAGATCTAATTTTATGATTGACTATATTTTGACAACCTTGTTAGTACGTACGTTATTTTGAAATTTCTGTGACTCTGAACAAGAAACTCCGCATAACAATCATCAGAGACACACAATAGAAACTATCTCATCCTCAAACCTTGACCAAATTTTTAAGAAACTCCCGCATCTTTTCCGTAATAGGGTCGTAGACAGCTAATTACTATCCTGTGATGCTAGTTATTCCATTTCTAATAATCAGCGATTGTGAGGTTCTTATTTATTCATTTTCCCCTTCTAGGAGGCAAATGGTACAAGCTAAATTCAATACCCAAATACCGACAAGCTTTCTGTCTTCTGCTAGTATGAAGCAATTTCATGAATTAACATCCTCACGGGCTTAACAGAAACAAAGGCATCGGGGAGATTATTGACCATCTTTCTGCTGAGTTAGATACTTAGCAACAGCTTCCATTATGGTCACAAAAGTTTGAATACTAACAAATGAAACATTAGCAGCTGCTTCTTCCTTGACCTCATACTCAATCGTGGCTTTGGTGATGCATGTTGTTTCATACTTCTCTATGACATCAAAGCGCACCTGAAAGAAGGTGAATCCGTGATCAAGAAGCCCACCTTCCACCACCAGAGCTACTTTTACCCGATTCTCATCATCCACAACAGAAAATCTTTCCTTGGAATAGGTAAACAGCGGAGTGCCAGGTGGAAAGGTTAGTTTGAGGACTGTCCCAGTACCGCCATCACCTTCAATTACATCAACCTTGTGTAGGACATGAGGGAGCTCTTTGACCACAATATTGGCCAATTGAAGCGTGCCATATACCTTCCAAGCTTCACTGGCAGGCACAGCTACTTCAATCTCTTCAGAAATCGTCCCAAACATAATTTTTGGTGGAAGGACAATAATAGTTCAAAGAGAGAAGTGTTTAACTGACTGAGTATGCTCTTTCATGTACCCCTATATATACACACACACAAATAAAGACTACTACCAGTTTTGGAGATTGAAATGGTATCAAATTCTACATCAAGACAAAGTTGCACACAAAGAGAATATAGTTTCAGAGATTCCAAACACTCTGGTAACAGCCAGCCGACCAATTATTCAATGCAGTTTTAGGTACAACCAACATTTGTTAGGGCCTAAACAACAACTACAACTAATTTTATACTAATGGAACTCCAAGTCTAGAGGTAAAACGACAAGGGAAACCTTTTATCTTTTAGCGTGTGAACAAGAAGATACAATAACTTTTACTAGACGGACCTGTGAGGGAAAAGGCAAGCGGCGACACCATTTTGGAGGCGGATCTCAGCAGCTTCAGCAACAGCAACAGAAGGGAGAATAGCATGAGTAGTGAGCAAAAGATTCCGGTGGATCAAGAAACCAGTAACACTACCAGCAATATGTACCATAGCAGGACCTTTAGTGGAAAAAATGGAAGCTTTCATTCTCTCAGACTTGCCACCTCCATTACAGAAGCACCAAGAATCTACCAAAACCCCCATTTGGTTTTTTAGGTAAAAATTCGAAATGGGGTTTTTCTTTTTCACAATAGATCCAGAATTGAAGCTAAAAATAACATATTTTCCAGCTCACAATGTGTGTTTTGTCACTCCAAGTAGCCTCACACTAGTGTACAGTCTATAGCATTATTCTGGTGTATGGTTGATAGAGAAAGATGGTAATGTATACAGAGAGGATTTTTGGTTAGTTTTGGGTAGTTGTTAAGAGAGAAAAGTGGGACAAGAAGCTTGTAAAACGCGAAAAATGGGACCTTTGTTATCCTAAATATGGGAGAAAGTGAAATGTATTGTCTGAAAGAGATGCCAAGGAAGAAGAAAATGATGACGAGACTGAAACTGGAAACACGGCTACTTCTCGCCCTTTTTTTTTTTTTTAAATTAGGGAGGATTATTGGCATATTTCTTGAATAATTTTGAGATTAAAATGGAGGTTCCATTGTATAAAACAGTTTAATCTACAAAATACAATATTCTGATTACTTATTGCATAATCATTTTCCTCTGCACTCTATTTGGATAATAGTTACGTATTATGCTATAATGTGTTATATGATAGTATGTATTATATTCCTCACATAAATATTATATATGTATAGGTTATATTATTTTTTGGTGTTACTGTGATATCTCACCTATTTGAATATTAGAATTAACTCGTGCTTTGGAATAAACTAAGACTTCTTAACATATTAGGAAGGATGTTTTGTGAGTTATTTTAATTCCACAAACTTTATATGTTAAGTCTACCAAAAAAGAAAGTTGTGAAATAAAAATTGACAAAAGTTATTGTCAATGCCAGTGAGGAATTCTCTGATATTTTAGGTTAAATGTCTCATCGATTTTCTCCCACTATATGAAGAGTTAGAATGTGCATGACCTATCAAATCGGAGGTCTACGAGTCTAGTTTTCAATGCACTAAACCGTTTGTCCATATGACTTCAGAGTAGAGAGATATTCACATTTTCGTAAGACTGCAAGCAGACACTTCGAAGTGGGTCCCCCCGTTCCTAAGTTGGTGGTCTTTATAAAAGACTACATTCTTCGCCTTTTTTTTATTATTATTAATAACAATTGAAAACCTAGAAAAACTCATAACCCACCTTCTAAATACTCCTTGGGTGCTTAGATTTTCAACCCCGTGGAGTATTTGGAAGGTAGGTTATGAGTTTTTCTGGATTTTCAACTGTTATTAATGAGAAAAGGAAAAGACGAAGAAGATGGTATAAAGGACGACCAACTTAGGAATTAGGGGAATCCCCCTTCTAGGTGTCTGCTTGTGCAGTCTCATAAAAATATGAATATTTTAGTGTGTTGAAAATTAGATTCGTAAACCTTCGATTTGATAGGTCATGGGCATTCTAACTCCTCATATACTGAGAGAAAATCGATAAGACATTTAACCCAAAATCTCAAAAAATTCCTTAACTCCATTTACAATAACTTTTACCAACTTTTATTTCACAACTTTCTTAAATTTAACACTTAGCATACGAACTTTGTGCAATCAAAATAACTCACAAAGCATCCTTCCAAAAGTATGAGTTAACTCCAACGTCCAACGGATGGGGTGTCATAATTACATAATAGGATACTAATAGAGCTACTATAAATATATAGAGTAAAAAATAAAATAGAATTATAAAATAATAAGTAAAGACAAAATGAGAGGAAAATATTAAAATAATAACATGAATCACGATCACACCAAATCAATCGTTAAAATGATTTTTTTTGTTATTACATATTGATGGATTTAAACAATGTTATACAATAAAAAATTAAAGAACAATTAAAACAAACTTTATATTTAGACTAAATAAATTATGTATTCAGAGTTTGTTTTATTGAATTATTTTGATTATCCTTTGAAATTTAAGTACTAGTATTACTTAATGATAGGATTACTATGTTTTAAGAAATTAAAAATCTCTTAACTTGTTAAAATGGACTATTATTTTTAATGTAAAAGTCAAGAAAATAAAATGAAGATTGTACATTATTATTTTATTTTATCTCTTTTGTTATAAAATCAAGCTTAGGACAATATAAATATAAAGAGAAGAAGACAAGATAAGTAGATGAAGGAGAAGACTTTTCTTTTTATTCAAGTGTATCCTACAAATGGTGAATGATATCTCTATTTATAGTGTTGAGATATCACTCAAAAGCCACCACGTTAAATGTCCAAACTAGTAGGTACATACTTACACAAAGGTTCATGTCACCTTGGAAATATGCATACATGAATACAACTAATTCATGAATAAATCAAATGGACAATCCATTATTCAATGGATTTATAACACTCCCCCTTGGATGTCCATAGATAATGTGCCTCGTTAAAACCTTACTAGAAAAAATCACGTGAGAAAAAATTCTAGTGAAGGAAAAAGAGTATACATATCTTTTGATACGCATTAGTTGTTGCCTCAGTAAAACCTTGTAGGAAAATCCAGTGGGACAAAACCTTGGTCAAGAAAAAAAGAGTGCAACGCGTATTTTACTCCCCTGATCAAACCATCACATAATTTATTGTGATGATGTCATCCAATCTTATATACCAATTTTTCAAATATTGACAATGTATTTGTGATCAAATCACATTCACGAAGATGTTGCATGATTGAACTCATTCTGATATATCGTTTTCTGGTTTCATGGATATGATGGGGCTTTGAGCTTAGCCGAATACATTCTTGAAAATCACTCTATTTGTGACCTCGTTGCTGCAAATAAATTGCTTATTCAACTTGTTCATAACAACAATCATCTTATGGACATTTTCATTTGCAGATGATTATCTTCGTACATTGTGGTTGGTATATTCTTTTTCAAAGAAAAATCACACATTTCCTGAATATGGTGTATCATTGATCTAAACCAGATACACGCTCGACTTGCTTCATGGAGGGCTATTTATTTCCGCATTGTTTGAAGAAGTGGCTACCAACGTTTGCTTCATTGATCTCCAAGATATTATTATGCCTCCACATGTAAATAAATAGCCTTTTTTAGATCGGACTTTATGCGGATCAGATAAATATTCTGCATCTGCGTAACTAATCAATTCTGACTTGGATTCATCGGAATAGAATAAACTTATGTATGTGGTTCCTCGAAGATATTCAAGTATGTTCTTAACATCATTTCAATGTCTTTTTGTTGGGGAGGAACTGAATCTTGCTAGTGAACTTACTGCAAAATAAATATCTAGTCAAGTATTGTTAGCAAGGTGCACTAGTGCCCCGATTGCACTATAAAATATGGAGTTTCATCACCAATAAGCTCTTTATCCTTCTTTTGAGATCAAAATGAATCTTTATATATGTCAAGTGATCTCATAATCATTAGGGTACTCAATGAATGTGATTTATCCATATAAAATCGCATGAAAATTTTTCTGTGTATGTTGATTGATGGACAAATATTTCATTTGTGAAATTCTCAATCTATAGGCCAAGACAAAATTGTGTCTTACCACGATCTTTTCATTTTAGATTCCCTTTTCAAACATTCAACAACTTTGAAAGCTCTTTAAGAGTGCTAAATATGTTCAAGTCATCAACATACACAACTATTATAACAAATTCAGATCCTGACCTTTTTCATAAAAATGCAAGGACAAATAAGGTCATTTTTTGTACCCTTTCTTCCTTGATTATTTCAATCCATACCATATAAGGATTCTTGAAGCTTTATTGAAAAATTTTCTTTCAAACTTTTATATGCTTCAAGGATTTTTATATAACCTTCATTGTCTAGCTAGACATGACAATTATTCATTATATGCATTCAAGTTTTCATATATTGCCAGATCAAAATAAATCGCATTGCATCCACCATAGGAGAAAACATCTCCAATAATGTCAGGACTTTCGTGAAAAATCTTTATGCCCCAAGAAACAAGCCATACTTGATATCTTACGGTTATACTATCGCATTATAATTTATTTATACCCCACTGACATTATATCTTGATTTATGAACCATCAGTCCAAAACGTCTCTTTTCTAAGTGAAACAAATTATACTTGAATTATGCATTTTATTTGGCCAATCATTTATTTGTCCACACTATGTGACAAATGTGAATTCAAGATCCTCATCACGATTTACATCATTGAGCGCTACTTTATATCAAAGATACCGTCGATGGTTATTTGATATCGATTCCAATATGACATAACTTATCGAGACCTCTTCATTTTTCTGGTACATGAACCTTTTTCAAGGTTTTATGAAGTGTTATGTCGTGGTGATCTTTTATAGAACTTGCCTCATTATCATGACATATTGATCATTTGCTCCTCTCTTCTTCAAGGAGTTTTACAGGTCTATTACACTTCAGGCGTATCATAGACTTTGTCCTTCAAGGACTTCTCA